TTGGGCTAGGAAATTGTTTGACTTGGGCTTAAGCTTGTTCATTAAATTGGGTCCAACAAATTAATACACTACTTGACTCGATAAATAATACGATAGCTTGAATTTAAAATGAGCCGACTAATTAAAACTCGGTTATGGCTCGAATAAATGGGTTCGGAAATTGGGCTCGGTTATTTAAAATGTTAACCGGGTTTAAATAAAATATTCAACTAGGATTAAAATGTCTCGATTAAATAATTGAGCCGGTTGGCCGAAATAAAATGGCTTGATTAAATGAGCTCGGAAATTTGGCTCGTTAGGAAATTTTAATCAAATTCCCAACTTTTCTAATACTAGATTAAAATCATAAATCGAGATTTAGACTTAAAAATTTATCTCGTTTTCGAAATAAAATTCAAATGATTTCTCCGTGACTTAGACTTTAGGATTCAATAAATTATGCAGTTAATAATAAATAAAATACGACATAATTATGATCCTACTACTTTTTGAAAAATAAAGTCGAGCTGATATATATAAATTGGTTCGGGGCTTTACAGTGACTGTCGGACAAACCAAACCTCAAATGGGTGCCAATTAGAGTACTAAATCTCCAATTCTTCCATAAATATTACATTTATATACTTCAACCGAAAGTCACATTCCTTTTTTCTTGAAGGTGGTATTGACAATCCAAATTTTTATTTAAATGTGGTTGGATGAGCTACATCATTATCACCTCCAATTTAAAATCACAAATTACACAACATCTTTTGAGGATAATATGGGCAATTCAAAATTTTCAAGAAAGTTTAAAAAAGTTATATATAGACTTTTGTTGCGTTTGTAATATTTAATTTTATTCATTTATATTAGGACATCATTATGTTATTTAAAAAAAAATATTAGAAGATCATTTGTTGTACATTTTATTTCGTTTACGCAAAGATATGTCTAATAAATTATTTAATTTATTATCCTAAATTTAATTGGTGAAAAAACATTCACCATGTGAATAGCAGGTGCAAAAACAATGAATTGAGTGAATGTGAGTTGGATAGAATACATAAGACGAGTAGGAATATAAAGTGGAAAAAGTGAGATATTGATAATTAATGAGCCTATTGGTTAGAATAGGTAAGAAGAGTAGGAAAGTAAACTGGGAAAGACAATAAACAAGCAGTGAAGAGCTGACTTGCATGCCTTTATATTCTTGCAAACAAAAAAAACAAACAAAAAAAAAAAAACCTTACATATAAGAGGGGGAATCATTTAATTTGGAATGCAGTGTAAGCAGTCAAGTACACATGCCGCCTGAGCTGAACCCTAATTTCTGGCCGGCAACATCGTACACGACCTCGAATGTCTTCTGCTGAGTGTTGCCGAAAGTAACCCAATCAGCGCCGCCATTGGTGAAAGCAAAACAGATTAGCGATTTGTTGACAACATAAACTGTTCCCGAAGCATCCAAATTGACTTGCACATTATTCTGAAAGGTGAATGATACAGATGGGACATGAATTTTATTGCTGTTAGGAACAAAACAAGTGTCGAAGAAGCCATCAAAACAGTCATAGAACGCCCCCTTGTATCTGTATTTAGTGCGCATGACCCGCCTGAATTCGCTGCTCAACGCTTTGTATACATCCGACGGGAGACGGGTGATGGTCGTGCCCGAGTCTACGAGGGTAAGTATCGGCGTACTGTTGGCAGATTTCGTGACGGATAATAAGTTGCGTCCTTCCACGGCTATGGCGATTGTGTTGACGATGTATGATGTTGGGTATTCCTGAATGAGAGGCGTGAATTTGGTGGTATGATCGTAATCTCTTCCCAACAAGAGAAAG